TCCCAAGATGTGGCATTCATGCCATGCCATATTTTCTTTTATATACTGTGTCTTCTGTTGTTTGCTTGGTAAAAAAAAAAAATCCTCAAGAACTGTGAGTAGGTATAGTCAGTGCCCTAGAAATGGTGACTGTATATTGAAAGGGTTTTTTGATGGCCAAGACTTCTAGTAAAAAGCAAGCCTAATTCTACCCAGTTCTATTATTACCCCAAATCCTAATGGTTACTGCTGAACTTGAGTGCCAATTATAGCGTCCTGAACAGTTTTCAGTTGAGATGGTATTCTTTTCTACTGATCACACACACACACACGCACACACGCGCGCACACACACACACACACACACACACACACATCCTTACACACACTTACCAGCGTAGTAGAAAGAAAAGAACACTAGATTTGAATTTGGAACACTTGGATATGAATCCTAGCTCTGGCACTCATTACTTATATAACCTGAGTCAAGTCACATCATCATTATATGTATATATAATAATTTCATGCATTAAAGAATAATAGAATCATAGCTAATACTTATGTAGCACATTAATGTTTCCCATTCACATGCAAAATGTTTCACATAGATTGTCTCATTGGATCCTCACCATAGCTATGCAGGGTAGGTGCCATAATTATCCCCATTTTACAGATGAGGAGACTGAGGATGGGAGAGTTTAAGTGGCTTGCCTAGGGTCACTTAACTAGTAAGACCAAATTCTAACTCATGTACTCCTGACTTTAAGTCTGGCATGCAATTTGCTTTGCCACCTAGATGCTTTAATCATCTTGTGCCTCAGTTTCCTCATCTGAAAAAATGAACAAGATGAATTCAGTGATTCCTAAAGTCTTTTGCAGTTCCAAATCCTATGGCCCTACCCTCATTAAGCCTGGAGAAGAGAAGATTTGGTTGACAGTAAAGAGGTTTGGGCGGAAGGGGAGTGGTGGGAACCATAGCTGTCTTCAGACATTTTAAAGGCTCTCACATAGAAGAACTCATAGATTGGTTTTGTGCAAATCCAGAGGGAAAAACTAGGACCAAAGGGCAAAAGTTATAGGGGAATGTATTTCCACTCAAAATATGAGGAAAAAATTCCTAACAATTAGAATAGATCATACATAGAATGTTCACCTTGTGAAGGGACAGGTTGTTTGTTATTAGAACGTTTCAAGCAGAGGCTCAACTGTCTGTCATGGATGTTGTAAAATGGTTCAGTTAGATGACCCTTCCCACAGTCCACTCTATTCAAGATTACCTCTACTCCTTGCCCATGCATCCTTCACGTGGACTGCAAAGAAACATAAAGCAATAAAATACACACAACGTTAAAACTATCTCCAATAAAATTGAATCACTTTATGATTCAGAAGGTACTTTAAGGTCTGGCCAGGTTGTACTGCTGTCATTATAGGCTGGAGGGATCATTGCACTGGCAAAGGACAGACATACTAGGAAAGAGAGATTTCCGACTGATAGAGTGCTAAGAGAACCCAATTTTTCTGTATCTACCACTATGCAAGATGTAATACAATATCCTCCAAGGAGACTTGATGAGGATAAAATACCTGCCCTGCTGAATTCCCAGGGGATCTGTGAGGCTCAAGAAAATCATTTAACTCAAGCACTTTGCAAACCACATGGCAGCTTAGATTGCTGTCATCCTTCCATCCAGTGACCTAAGATTGTAGAGAACTAAATGTCTCCATCCCCTAAATCATTCATTTGCTCCAAAACAAATCTATTGAAAATTGCATAAAGTGTCCCCGGTACAAAGCTATTAAAAGAAGAAAAAACAAACACCCTTTAATATATTTATCCTGCAGCCCTCCAGGTGATTCCTCCAGGTTAGCTAGTCTTATACATAGAGAAGCCTTCATGACATCTATAAAGCTTCTATATTATTTTCATAATCTCAGCATAATTCATTTTTGGCCTAACTTCATTGTTTTATCCTTCATGTATTAATTCTTCCTTCTTCCTTATTTCTTCCCTTCCTTCCTACCCTTTCTTCTTCCCTCCATTTTCTCATTTTATTCCTTCTTTAGTGCTTCCCTCTCTTCCTTCTTCTCTTTCTTCCTTTCCCCCAAGCCCTTCCTTTGTCTTTCATCCTTCTCCTTCTCCCTTTTCTTCCTTCTTTCCTTCCTTCCTTCTTTCCTTTTTCCTCCTTCCCACCCTCCTTCCATTCCCTTCCTCTGTCTTTTTCTTATTCTTTCCTTCTTTCCTCTCTAGCCCTTCCCTATGTCCATCCCTCCATTCCTTCTTTCTCTCTTCCCTCCTCCCCCCTCCTTTTCTCCCTCACTTCTTTCCTGTCTTCCTTCCTTTCTCCTTCCTTCTTTCTCATTTTTATTTCTTATCTCCTTCCTCTTTTCCCTCTGTCCTTCCCTCTTCAGCCTTTCCCTCCCTTTCTCTCTCTCTTCCTTCCTTCCATTCATTTCTCTCTTCCCTCCTTCCTCTTTCCCTTCTCTCTTTTCATGCATCTTTAAAAATAACCCCAAAGGTTGCTTTGCTTTGAATGACGTCAGCAACCCTGGTTGTCAAGTTCTCATGGCCTTCATCAACAGAATGTGCAGTGACACTTTTGCCTTCTGCTTCTACCATCTTTGACCTTGTATAGTAATCATTGCATCAAACAATGAATGTTTGATGCCGGGGAGAATCACTGACTGACTCATACGTTTGGATATACGCACATTGCTCGGCTGGCGTTCTTTTTTTCCTTCCCCCTGCCTGACTCAGAAGACTTTGGAGAAGGAAAGTATTTGAAAGCATTTCACAGTTATATTTGTTTCATTCTGAACATCCAGATATTATCTCAGAATGTAGAGCTGAGATACTAGAGCTTGTCTAGTCCCATTTGGTCATTTTACAGATGAGGAAACTGAGGCCCAGACTGAAGCAAAGTGGCTTTCCCAAAGTCACAGACATAAATACCTTTCCCAAAAAATTTTTCTTCTTCCCTTCTACCTGACTGATCTGTGAATAATAGTATACTTTAACATTTTCAATCTACTATGCACTCTATACACCTAAGAAAGGTTCAATGACTTTCCTGGTGTCTCACAGCTAATTAGTTTCTAAGGCAGGACTTGAATTCAGGTCTTCCTGACTCTTAGTCCAATTCAGCACACTGTCCACTGCACCAGTGAAGTTCCCTCTGAACTTCTCAGCACATAAGTTATCCCCCTGAATATCTGAAGGGCCGTCATGTGGAAGAGGCCATGGAGTAGTTCTGCTTGTTCCAAGGGAGAAGAAGTAAGAGAAATGAATGGAAGTCTGAAGGGGACATACTTTAGCTTACACTAAAGAAATGCTTCTGACAAATTGGAGCTCTCTAGAGTAGGATGAACATCCTAGATAAACAGTTTGTTATCAGTAGAGATCTTTGCCGGTTGAACACCTCAATACAACTCAAGGGATACTTATTAAATGACTATTGTGTAAGGCACTGGGCAAGCTGCTGGGACTACAAAGACAAAAAAACAGAACTCTGCTGGCCTGCAAGGAGTTTTCATTCTGCTGGAAAAGTATGGTCTATATGCAGATAAGACATAGGGCATGCAAAAACTAACCTTGTAACTTTTTCAGTAGTATTTGGCAGGCTTAAAAACCAGCTCATATTTTATAATATGTTATTACTTTTGTAATGAATGCATTTTAAGAACTAAAAAAATAAAACACCCAAAATTTTAAAAAAAAGACATAGGGGCATGTAAATGTTATCTTCAAGTATATTAAGTGTGAAATTATATGTGAAATTATAATAATAATTGACATTTACGAAGGATGATAATAAAGGTTTTGCTTTTTAAATATAAATTCCAGAGCATGATCTGAAGTCAGTCTAGATTCAGACCAATACATAATATAAATATCAGAAGGTGTTTCTCTCTTTCTTTTGGTGACCTCAGTCATAGTGCTCACAATTCAGGGCATGTGCACAACCAAGTTAATGTCACCAAAAAGCTTTTCTTTCCCTTCTCGTCTTCTCCATTAATGAGTCAAATAAACATTTATTAAGCATCTGCTATGTGCCAGACACCTTGCTAAGCGCTGGTTATAGAAAGCAGAGCAGAAAGCAGAATTCCTGGCTTCAACAAGCTCACAGTCTAATGGGGGTGTCAAAATGCAAACCACCATGTGTATACAAGATGCATACAGTGTATGTGGTAGACAGGAGGCACAACGAATAGAGTGTAAGGCTTGGTGTCAGGAATACCTGAGATCAAATTCTGCCTCAGCTAAGTATATGAGCTTACTAGCTGTTTGATACTGGGCAAGTCAGCTTAACATATGCCTGCCTTAGTTCTTCATCTGTAAAATGGAAATAATAATAATACCCATCTTCCAGGGTTGTTCTGAAGATCAAATGACATATATTTACAAAGCACCTTGCAAACCTTCAAATGCCACATAAATTCTAGCTGTTATTAAATTTGGGTAAGCTCAGAGGAAAGGATGGAAGAGATGGGAAAGCCTCATTCTTTTTCCCTATCTAATCATCTTATGGTCTCCCCTGCCTCCCCTTCTTTCTCTTTTCTCTCTGATGAAGAAAGCAACATTGAGAAAAAAAAAAAACTATTCAGAGAAGCAGTGTGGTATAATGGAAAGGGCTTTGGATTTGAAATTGGGTAAGACCTGAGTTCAGATTCCTGCTCAGATACTCCCTAGCTAATATGATACTAAGCAAGTCATTTCTCCTAAGTCTCAGTTTCCTCATCTGTGCAATGGGCATAAAAATGCCTGTACTCCATAGGCTTTTATGAAAAAGTATTACAGGCATTTGAATGAGGGCCCTGCCCATACATCAAACTGTTTTTTGTGCCTTTACCTTATTACACTCAACCCATTTTCCTTTCCCTTGCCCTGTTTTCAGTTTTTCCATCTTCTGACAGAAACCTTGTAGGCTGCTCTAAATGGAAGGTAGGGAAGGGGTTGGTCTTAGCAACGGGAGCTATTCTAACCTATGGTCACCTTTTCTTTCCCTCTTCCTTTCCTTACAGAAAAGAGCAGTTGGAGGCAGCAGCCAGGTAAGTGTTCCTTGTTGCTCAATTTCTTCAAGTCAAATTAAAAAGCATTTATTAAGTACCTACTGTATGCCAGGCACTACGCTAATTACTAGGGGTGCAAAGAAAAGCAAAAGAGAGTCCCTGCCCTCAAGAAGCTGTCAGTCTAATGGGGAGACAACATGTCAACAATTAGGTACAAACAAGATATAGACAGAATAAATTATAGATAACTTCATGGGGAAGGCACACCATTGAGGGGAATCATGAAACATTTGCTTGCTTGCTTCCTTCCTGCCTGCCTGCCTTCCTGCCTTCTTCCCTTTCTCCCTCCCTCCTTCTTTCCTCCCTCCCTTCTTTCCTTCCTCCTTTCCTTCCTTCCTTCCTTCCTTCCTTCCTTCCTTCCTTCCTTCCTTCCTTCCTTCCTTCCTTCCTTCCATGACTTCAGGGCCCCAAGTCACCAAGATGCCACCTACAGGGGCCCCTCCAGAATCTTAGTCTGGTACTCAAAACCCTGGTTCTCTTGAAGGGAGAATATTCACATCTTGAGATACCAATCTCTTCTCAGAAAACAGCATCAACCCTGGGCTCCTCCAAGTTACACATACTCATCACCTTCTACAAAGATTTCATAACTAGATATACAGATAAAGCGTTCATTAAGCACTTACTGTATGCCTGGGAAGTAACTCAGAATACTCCAACATGGTTCTGTCTACTGTCCATACCCAAGAGATAAGCCAATCAGTACAAACAAAGATGGGAAGGATAATTGAAAGAGAAGACCAATCACAAGTCTTGAACTAAATATCCCCTTCTCTCAACATTAGTTACACCTAGGGGATGGCAGATAATGGAGCCACACATTTGTCTAGTCACATACTTTTTAAAACAACCAGTTTAAAAAGTGCTTAGAGATAACAAAGACACCAGCATTTTTGTAGAGCTGTTTTTTAAATGAAATGATCACTTTTTGGCAGAGTTCCCTTTACCAGCTTCAGGAAACAATATGGCAGAGTCTAGCAACAAAACCTTTTCAGTATTGTGTGGTAACGCTAATAATGATTGTTGGGAAGAAACTGGTGATGTTTTATTAAGCTTGAATAGATTTTTAGCTGATTTTGAACGACCTAGAAGGAACATGTCTAAGAAGAAAGTTAAGCCATGTAACTAATAAATCACAACTAATTAAAGTGAGGAGAGAAATCATATTGAATTTCAAGAATTTTTTTAATTCCTATGATATTGGTTTTCAGAAACCATAAGCTCAGTATGAGTCAGTTGGGTGTCCTGGAAGCCCCCAAAGCTGAAATAATCTTAGGCTTCAAATACAATGTTTAGAATGAAGGACATGATATTCTTACCATGTATCTAGTCAGACCACCTTTGGAATATTGTGTCTATTCTAAGCATCAGATTTTAGGAAAGGCATTGTATGGATGAACAGAGTCAAAAAGAGAACTGACCATGATCCTAATGATCCTCAGCCTGCTGTCCCATGAGGTTTGGTTGAATGAAGTAGGGAGAACCTCATCCAAGGAAGAGAAAACTTAAGTGGGAAATGAACACTTTCCTCAAATATTTAAGAATTATCAATCAGAAGAAGAATTTGATCTGTTTTGTTTGGTCCCAGAAGGGAGAACTGGGAGGAAAATGCAAAAAAGAAAATCTAGGCTTTAAGAAAGCAAAAGATTCCTTCCTGGCAATTAGAACTATTCAAAATTGGAGTGGGCAGTCTCTGAAGTCACAAATTCTCTTAAATTATAGTGATCGTTTGAAGTCGTAGAGAGGATTGTTGCTCAAGTATGTTGTTAATGTTGTTGGTTAGTTGTTTTCAGTCATATTTGACTCTTCATGACCCTATTTGAGATAGGCTAGGCAGATGTTATCTCCAACTTTCCAATGAGGAAACAGGTTTAGGGAGACTACGATTTGCCACAGACCACTTGGTGAATATGTGTGAGCTGTGATTAGAGCCCATATCTTCTGACTCTAGGGCTTGAGTCTTTTGTGACATTTGGAGAGCTGGCGAAAACATTAGAGGACTAGTAATGTCTGTAAAGTTTGAATAGCTTTCCGATGGAAAGTTGTATTTCTTTCTGATTTAATTTTTCCAAAGATGTAAATTGAAACATCTTTATATCAGGGACCACTGTCTCAACTAAGACATGGAACTAGTCAAGATTACTTTATAATAAGATCCTCTGGGTAGTTTAGTTTCCAAATTCCCTTGGATGGAGTCCATAATGACCCACTGTAAATGAGCTCTGATCTGTAGCAAAGAATATTATAGTGCAGTATTCAGTAGTGTGAAATCCAACCCAAGTTTTATGTCCACCCTGCACAATCTGGATGTTGGATATCAAGTTGTTTCTTTCCTAGACATTGAATGCTTGACATCCATTAAAAGAAATTCCAAGGTAGGGCTGAACAAAGAACAATCCACCCCCAGCCAAATCCTCATTCATTTAAGATGCTCATTGCTCCCCACTGGATTAGCAGCTTGGATAATATCTAATTAAAGCCAAACAAGATATATATAAAGCATTTTCTAAGATTTTTTAATAATAGCATTTATTCTTGATAAAAGCTAGCACTTTGGAGTTTGAAAAGCACTTTACAAATATTTTATCTCACAATAACCTTAGGAAGTGGGGACTGTTATTATCTCCATTTTTACAGATAAGGAAACTGAGATACAGGTTGAATGACTTGCCCAGAGTCACAAAGCTAGTGAGTGTCTGAAGCTGGATTTGAAATTAGGTCTTCTGACTCCAGGTCTGTTGTTTTACTTACTGCATCACTTAGTTGCCGCTTATTCCGCTTCAATAATTTAAAAGATTCATGATTTCATCTTGATGGGCACTCCTTTCTCTAATGTAGATCACAATCTGTCCACATCTTAGAGGTTTCATGAACCTATAACCAAAAAATTCCGGTGGCTAAACCTCTCCACACTTAACTGATATTGTCCACAACCAGGCCTGTATTTGAATCTCCCTCTCTCTTGTGCTTGCGCTCTCTCTCTCTCTCTCTCTCTCTCTCTCTCTCTCTCTCTCTCTCTCTCTCTCTCTCTCTCTCTCTCACACACACACACACACACACACTCTCTCTCTCTCTCTCTCTCTCTCTCTCTCTCTCTCTCTTTCTTTTTCTCTCTCTCACACACAACTACAAGTCACCTTTCAAGGTCATCAGGTCTAATCCCCTTATTTTGCAGATGAAGATACTGAGGCCCAGAGATGACAAATAGCTTCCCCAAGGCCACATAAGTAGTGAGTACCATAACTGAGATTTGACTTCATGTCCTATGACTCCAAAACTATGGCTCTTTCCACTACACCAGCTTGGTATTATCTACAGAAATTTATCTTCTACTGACAGAACACAGCCTTCAAAAATCCAAGTTCATCTCTATGCCACGATAAGGCATCAGAAAAGGATTTTAGTGCTAAGGGTACTAAGGAAAAAATTTAGTAGTAGAAAAGTAGGCTCTCTAAGATCGTGTCATGGAGACATGGAAGCCCACTTCAAGAGAGCACATTTGGGGTCGGAAGAGGGCATTGCCATCTGCTTTGGTAAAGTCCCAAAGTCAGTTGCTGGGTGACTCACAAACTGGATACTGAGAGAAGAAGGAATATTCCATGAAATTTTCTCATGTCAGGTTACCAAGTAGATGCTATGTTCAGACGGCCTATAGATGATAGAGAAATAATGGTGTAGATGGTGTTTTCAAGAGTTTGGCTACAAAAGGGAAGAAAGAACTATAGGATTGTAGCTTGAGCAAATGATAGGATCAAGTGAAAGAGTTGTTGATTTATTTTAAAGGATAATGTGTATCTGGGCATGTTTGTAGACATCGGTGAATGAGCCAATAGATAGATATTGAAGATTTCATAAGGGGTAATATTGTGGGAACAATCTGACAGAGGACAGTACAAAGGAGGGGCTGACTTTGAAGGGGAGAGTGGCTGCCTTTTTCTTCATTGGAGACTAATGCAAGGCAGAAGGAAATAGAGAATGATGGCAAGAGGCTTTGAGATGTGGAGTATGGGAGAAAAGGAAGTTCACAGCAAATGGCCTCTATTTCCTATATTATAATGATAATGATAATGATAATAATAATGATAATAATAATAATAATAATAATAATAATATACCACACTTAGAGTTTTGTATTTCACAGAATACTTTCCTAAAAGCATAGAATGAAATGGGATGTAATAGAAAGAACATGGGACTGGGGTTGAGAAGAGCATGTACTGATTATGTGACCTTGGGCAAGACATTTAACTCCTTTGAGCCTCAGTTTCTTTATCTGTAAAATGGAAATGAAAATACACTTGACTCACGTTGTAGGATTTTTGAAAGGGATATATTTTGTAAATCTCAAAGTGCTCATTTGCTCAGAACTGCCCCAGGATGTCGGCAGGAATTATTTTCTGCACTTTATAGATGGGTAAATTGAGGCTCAATGAGGGCCAGTTTTCCATCTAAGGTCACGCATCTAGTAATTGGCGGCATTTGCACTCAGATGTTCTGATGCCAAATACAGTTCAACTCTACCATGTGAGCTCCCTCTTATCAGTAAAAGAAAACAAAAGAACTGGTTATACTAAACTCTGTTAGCTACATAGGGAATGGAGTGTGCTAGTTTATCTACTATTTTATGGACAAAGAATTATCCTCCAGAAGGGAAGGGAATAAGCATTTATATAATGTCTACTATGTGCCAGGAACTGTGCAAAGCTCTTTACAAATATTATTGCATTTTCTTCACAACAACCCTGTGAGGCAACTGCTATTATTATCCCCGTTTTACAGTTAAGGGAACTTTTAGGCAGCAGTTAAGTGTCCAAGGTCATACAGCTAGCATGTGTCTGAGACTGGATTTGAACTCAGATCTTCCTGACTCCAGGCCCAATGTTCTATATAAGACTATATCTTACAAAGCAGTTGCCAATGTGCATTAGTAGAGGGAGTTTCTGCACTGAAAGTACCCTACACCAACAAAATCACTATTC